CTGTATTATATTACCCTATATTAGATAAAAAAAAAATTATCGAATTTGGTTGGTTCTACAGAATACGATCATCATTCCTGTAGAGCATATTTTTATGAACAAAATTACATTAAAATAAAACTGAATATTACAGTTAAATGTATGAGGTCTGAAAACATTTCATGGATTTTAGAAATTAGTAGTTGCAAATCAGATTGTAGAAGAATTTTGTTGAGATAATCAAATATCTATTGAATTTAAAATAATTATGTAAATGTGCTAGTTTTAAATTAAGTATAAAAATGTGTTTATAACGTTAGGTTGGGGTAGAAGGGCTTCAATGCTTCATAATAATATTGTGCCCCAAGCCTCAAAAATCCTAATAACCATTTAATCCTGTAATTAACTTATTCAATATTGGGATTTGTAGGTTCAATGTATGATCTCACATTTTTCCAAACTTTGTCATACAAAATTTTTAAACAAATTTAAAGTTAATATTTATTTAGTAAATGGTTTTATTATTTCAGTGATAAGTTATAAAAATTATTTTGTACAAATCATTATAATATATTCATATGGCACTCATTGATACTCAATGTTATTACTTATGTTTTTTTATGACATAGCTAATTATATATACTTTGTTCAGCGAATACACACATCACAGACGGTCAGAAATCAGTGTGTTCTATTGCTATACAGTGTATTATAAATTAGTGTAATTTTGTATACTAAATTTGTACAGTATTTAACTTTTTATATTATGCTTTCATTCCAGAGTCCATTCAGTGACAAATTTTTGAAAAAAATTCCTACAAGTAATATTTTTACAACATTTGTCTGTGATTTATTTTGTGTAATTTTATGTTTTTGGTTTGTATCTTACAAATATGTACTATTTTTTTTTTATAATTAATTTGTAAATTTTTTTTTAATAATAATTTTTTAATTTATGTATTTTTTTTAAAATCATATTGATAAAATATTAGTTTTAAATTCACTTTTTAACAACAAAAACTATAATATAAACTTAATTATTGTTATTATGATTGTCGTATTTCTATACCATTATAGAAAATATTGTATACATAAATTACATCTTGTCATTGACAATAACAAAAAGAACTAAAAAGTATCTAATTAATATTATTTAACAATCTATAATTAACTCTAATTGTTCAAATGTTTTAATTTAACACGACACAAACCATGTTCTATTTATTGAACACATCAGTATTTTGAAATAAAATCAACTACTTATTTTAAATACAAGGATTTTGGTTGTGAACCCATTATTTGACATTACATTTTGTAGATAGTTACACATTATACTTTTAAATGGTATACAATTAATAATTACAATTTAAAACAGTTATCTTTTTATGTAAAACATTAATATGGCTTAAACATATTCATTGACTAAATTCATTCTATATTTCTTCCTTTCTTCGCCCTTTTCTCCTAACTATATGATGTCAGACACCTTTTATTATTGTATCACTTTTCCTCAACCCCTACAATGTTTTTCACCCTTTCAATTAATTCCTGCTCTCAACAAATATTTTTCTCTTCAAACTCCGACTAATTCCTTACTTTTGCCTCTTAATGTTATTATCATAACTCATAAGTAAAGACCGGATTTAATTGCATTAAAAACACTCAAAAATTGCATCATAAAATTGTATAATTGCACCAAAAATCCCATAAAAATTGCAAAATAAATTGCACTATAAAAATGCAAGTCGTGTTTATATATTCATTAATTAATATTACATTAATTACATTTAATATTAATTTTACATTTTTGAATTAAAATTGATGATTAAATACATTTCTAAATTATTTTCATTAAAATTAAATCTTCTATTAGTTAAAATATGTTTGTACAACTAGAAACTACGTTCTACGTCAACACTCGTTATTGGTGCATATTTAAAACAATTTAATAAAGTAGGCGTTATATCTAAATTAACATTTGCTTTACCTGACATGACTTCATAGTAACACTTTAAAGTTTTATACCCTTCATTTTTTTCAATTACATACATACATTTTTCCTTAATTTTTTCCCCTTCTGGACCAGGAATATTTGTTAAAATATCTTCAATTTTTCTAAAAATATCCATACTTTTCAGTAGTTCACTATTAGATTCTTCCAAATTTTTGAGATTCGTGCATAACTCAGATAAGTGTAATTTTATGAATGCTAAACCACATTTGACTGTATTATCTTGTACAAGCAGTTTCAGCTTTTCGACACTTAAAGCATCATCTGTTAAACTTTAATCACGTTTTTAAACTTTTCAAAATTAAAATAACATAGATAATACTCCTTTATACTTCTAAGATCATATTAATCAAACCAATAATAAAAATCCACAATAATTTTATTATTTTTATATTATAAAATTAGTTAAGAAATATTGATTTGTACATTTGATTACGTGAAATATACAAAATTGAAAAAAATTGCAAAAACATTAAAAATTGCAATAAATTGCAACATAAAATTAAACAGAAAGACAGTAATTAATACAAATCGTGTACATATTTGATCAGATTTGATTTATCTTAACTACAAAAAAAGTTGCAATATCAATTAAATCCGGTCTTTACTCATAAGCATTTGCCTGGGCAACCCTCAACATTTTGTAATCGGGGCTCTAACTTTTAAATTCCAGAGCATATGGCCCGTATTTTAAAAGATGTTATTAGAATAAAATGTAATTTTTTTAAATATGTGGTGAAAAAATATGTTATAAATTAACTATTAAAGATTAAGCTCTGAAAATGTTCAATGCACTTCTCCTAGCCAATGTGAATCTAACAAGACCTTAAACAACAAAATTCACTCTCCGTTTTTGGATATCTATCTAATTAAATGAAAATGATTTTTTTTGGGTGGGTGAGAGGGATGTTTAAACATGTTTAAACACCATAACGTCAATTTTTTTCATTATTTAACTTTTTTAATCAAAAATTTAGATTTTAAATTATAGTTTAAGATTTTTAAATGCTTTTACATGATTTTTATAAACCTAAATATATCGAACTATGACTATAAATAAACTCTAAGCAACCTAAGCCAATAAAAAAAAAATGTATGGAAATAATAAATTGTTTATCCAGATTAATGAAGTCCAAAACAATCAGTTTTGCCTGTATAGCTAGGTGTATCGTGTCCCTGACTTTTATTTAAGTCTATGAATGACTAATGTTTTTGTAGTGCATTGTTGTAAATTACCCAATTATATCCGACTATTTAATATATTGAAATAAACCATTTTCCGCTAATTAATGCCCGTTGATTTATCCCATCTTAATCTGCATAACAGATTTCTAATATGATTGATGGTTTTTATCAGATATAAAATATAGGTCTAAAATTATATTCTATCACAATAACTATTTTATTTTTTGTAACCAATAGCAACCGTAAAAATCTCTTAATAAACAAAAATATATTGTTTGTCCATATTCTATGAAAAATTTTTAAATATAAAAGTAAAAAATATTAAGGGACACTTATCGAGATGAAATATAATCTATAAAGTATAGGTCCTTAAGAATTTAGGACAGTGTAGCTTTTAGAGGGTAAAAACAATTTTAAAATTGGTTGAGTAGTTCCAGAGATTATATTTTTTCATAACTTATGTATAATATGATGCCACCGGTATTTCTCCCTGTACACATAGTATAAATGGGTGGAATTAATTACTTTTTTAGTCCCATAGATTTACAAACAAATATAGTTATCACTGACTTATAATGTAGCCTATAGGAAGACATAATGAATCTTCATTACCTGAACTGCGATTGATGTTTTCGAAAACAAATACACATTGTAGCGCTTGTATACATAATCGTGTATGTATAATAAATTAATGTGTATAATAATTCTATATTAATATACCTATGAATAATTATGAATATAATATAATATGCATGTTTTTTTCATTTTATGTATAAACATATTAAACATATATATAACAATATTATTGATTGATATCATGCACAACATATATTTCAATATCTACCCACTTTTAAACCCCTCAATACAAATATATAACAGATGTAATTAGTATGCGATTATAAATATTTTGATTTTTGTTTTATGTTATTGCTTATCATATAGTATTCTATTGCCCCCGAAAACATTTCTACCATGATACCTAGGTGTCAAGGTATCATAAAACCCTATCCACCATTCCCCTGTAAGTGGGGTATGCTATATAGTATTAGAACAATTATTTAATTGTAGTATCTGAACTAGGTGTAGTCCATATCAGTTTGAACAATTGAGGTCCTTCTCTGTATGTTTCACAACGAATTTATTTTTAAACTCAATAAACAATCATTTTTGAATTAGAAGTTATGGGTAAAGTTGATAAATATAATGCAAATATAAATTCAAGTACATTTTTTTTTTTTTATTAAAAATAGTCTAATATATTTCATTATCAATTTGCCAATTATACTAGATATAAATTAATTTATGTAGATTATGATGGTGGGATATTTTGGTTTTTTTTATTCATAATAATAATCATTTATGTGAATATGAATATAATTTCTACAAAATGTAAATGTTATGTTAAAATTTGAATAATTACAATTAAAAATAAAAATTAGACAGCAATATTTGCGTAAATAAAAATGTTTATAAAAAAATAATATACATTATAAATATATTTACCATTATTATAATAACTAAAATATTTTTGTTTTATAAATCAACTCAATATACACAATACATGAATGATTAGAACATATAAATATACTTTTAAGTTTTAATATCAGTTCGGGGAAACATTAACGGACAATATAATACACAAAATAGATTTAATGTAAAAAATATATCAGTAAAAATTGACGGGTAGACTAATTATTGACATATCAATAACATGTGATTGAACCATCGAAAAATAAAATATATAATAATAAATGATTCAAATTGTATTAAATATTATTTGAATACATTTTAAAGACCTTTAAAAAAAAATTGGACACAAAACATATAAGTACTTAAATTAAAATCATCTTTTAGGATTCGTCAAAAACAAATAATTATTAAAATTGTAATAAATCACTCATTATTGTGTAAGGGTATTACAGATTTAGAACCAAATGGTGATTTATACTGGATTCCAGCTAGATGAAATACTTGAGTAGGTATACCCATATTACAAAGATAAATTTTACCATTTGATTCACTGTAAGATAAAGGTAAAGCAGGTACTAGAGAATATTTCACTACTACTGAAGGTGTACCTTGTGATGGAGGATCAATGGCCATTAATGGTGATCTAACTGATTTAGCCCAGTTAGTAATGTTCCGGGACACAGTATCAGTTTGTTCATCAGCCAAAGATACTACAACAAAATCTGGATCTAATAAGCCGTGCAACTCTAAAAATAATAATATATATTATACATAAATACATTTTTCTACACATAATATCATATTTTCCATTTTGAACTCTTTATCTTAGATTTGAAATCTACTAAACAAATTAATATTTTAAATTCTAAGGAGTAATTTAATTTTATAATAACATATTTTTTTTAATTCTCTGAAGATTGTATTTTATGTGTAAGAAAGTGAATACATTTGGTGCTAGTTGGAATTTGTACTAATTGTCAGTAGTTTTTCAAATTATTGATAAAAAGAAAAAAAAAGTTGAGTTTAAATACCTGCTGCACTAGTAATAAGGGTACCAGTTGTAAATTGATATAAAGCCATTTCATTAGCCAACTGTGGAGTATACAATCCTGGTTCAGAAAGTACAACTACAGTATGGACACCATAACTGCTTAATTGTCTCGCACAATTCACACCCATTGCACCTGATCGATTAGGTCCACATAAAACCACTACTCTAGGCCATTGGTGTTCATTTCTGGGATTAAATCTACACATATTAAATAACAAATAATGTTTTATGAAAAGATAAAATATTTTTTGTGAAATATTTTACCTATAACCTCCTCCCAAAAGTTGCAACACCATTTCAGTAGCAGCTCGCCCAATTATCTCATTTTGACGTCCTGTTGTTAAACCATTTTCTTCAACTAGATTAAATAATTTCCATCGTAATTCTGACGTTATACTTGGAACAACTAGTCCATCATCTAAAAATTATTGGAATAAAAAATAGTGTTATATTTTATTATTGAAATAACATGTGAAATGATTAGTTACACAAATTATGCATAATATATTATTTACCCGTTATATATTCATTGATAGCAGGAGAAGGAACTGTAACTTGTCTAAATTTGACTGGAGTAGAATGTAATACATTTTCAGTATGTTTATATTTATTCGAAACTTTTTCATGTGGAACAAGATCTGGTTTTTTATGAATTTTATTATAAAAGGCTTTTTTGTTGAATAAAGCTAAATTTTTTTCAAAATCAAAATCTTCTTTGACAATTGTATCAAGTGATACACCAAAACAGGCATCATTTCGTTCTTTATGATTTGTAAAATTCTGTGGTGGTTGTTCTACATAAGTAGACAACAATAAATATAAAATTGTATTATTCAATTATAAATCAAATGAACCTATGTATGAGTTATAATTTTAAAGAACATTGTATAATATTACATAAAACTCATTATTTTAATTTTCTTGAGATATTATATCAACATATTTAATATTCCTAAATACTTAGATATTAAGAATTCCACTAAATATACCAACCAGGTTCAGAATTTGGAGCATTTTTTGCTTTATTCTTTTGCTTGACATTGTTTGGTTTAGGTACAGGGACACTTTTTTTAATATTTTTGGCTACTTGGCTATTATTGATAACTGGTTCATTTTCTAGTTGTGCTTTTATAATCTTTAGGTTCTCTATCATCGATGCTCTAGTTTAAAACATAATAAAACAAAATATTTATTTGAGTTTAATTTATTTTGTAGCATTATGGCATTACTTTAAACGAATTTCTTTTTCTGTATGTGGTATACCATTTTTAAACGGTCGTTTTAGGATTAGAGTTTCATTGTCATCCGACATACCGCTCACTTCACCTTGAACGACTGAACCATCCACACAATTAATGGACACACAACATCCTTTATATTGATTTGCCATTATTTATAAATTATTAAGTTATTTTATTTATCAAACTAAGAAAAGAAAAGTGTCAAAGTACAAAAATAATGTTTAACATTATGCCACAAGATTCAAACTAATCAAACTTCAGTGTCCAGATTACCTCGTCACTAGTAGTTACTAGTAACTAATAAGTAGTTCTTCAAGCGAACCACAAATCACAATAATGTTTGTTGACATATTTTGATAAGAATATCAGACACAGTGTAACCATATACCTTTCTTTGTCTAGAATCTAGATCATATACCCGGTCTCTGGTAACCAATTTTAACTTCAATTTAATTTAACATTTTTGAGTGTTCCATTAATTGTATTAAAATTTGAACTTTAGATGATTGTAAACAAAATTCTTGACCATCTTTAATACTTTTTAGTAACTCATGTTTTAATAACTGGTTATGCAATCTTGTATTAAATTTTCAAGTTTTGTACAAATAGAAAAATATTTTATCGACAATAATTATTAGAAACTTTTCATCACGAAAAACTTAATATGATGAATCTACTTTCAAATAATATAGTTGGTAACTAATAGTACTGATGGGACTTTGGAGAACGAAATTGAGATTAATCGGTGCAATATGAAATAGAGAATTATTTCTAGTACCTATTAACTGAGGGTGCTGGAAAGCCAATAACACAGAAGGGCAGTTGACAATACCATTGAATAGGTAGTTTATATAAAAAAGAGACAGTCAATCTAATCACGCCTTTCTAGCACGATTTAAGATAGATCTATGAACTATCTTAAATCGTGCTTTCTAGAGAGGGTTTCCTCGGTTCTCGGTCATTATGTAAACCACACAAATTTAATTTAAAGGCAATCATTTTAATAAAATTTCTTTGGATTTTATCAATTAAACTTATTTGTTAGGGGTTTCAAATCAGTGAACCTAACTCCAAAATAATGTATTCATCATGTTTTCGAAACTGCCATTAAAATAAAAAATACTACAAATGATTGTTGTTGAACATATAGTTAAAAGCATTAAACCGTATTCAACATTAATTTTTGCATCCTAATGTTATGAGAAATGTATATAACTTGGATTATGTGTTCATATAACAGCATTGTATTCCAATTACTCTAAATAATCTAAATTATTATGAGTTCTGTATTACACAGATTCAACAATTGCGTCACAGACACACTATTTTTGTTCATTCCGGTTTTAATTGTATGTAACTATGGGTAGGTAGCTCCAATATGTGCTCTTATGGATAAAAAGTCTGTGTCCCCACTGGGCTTCATTAAATATTTATTTTATGTCATGTATATATCTAACGTTAGCCAAGTACAAAAGTGTAGTTTACCATAGTTTCATACATGGCTGTTATCTCGAGGGACCGAGAGCCATTTTAACCTAAGGTTAAAAAAAAGGTATTTATTACTTTCCAATCAATTTCATTTGTTGTTAAATGTAAAAAAATGAATGACATATCACATATGATTCAAATGTTAATAGTAAAAAGAAAATTGTTATGTATTTTTAACTAAAAAAAATTGCAAAAATTCTCATTTTTTTTTTCGTTTATGAAGACGCATTTGCAAACTAACCACCTATAAGGAGCCCTCCCCACAGTACCGACTAGATTCACTTAATTTACCAGAAAATATGCTGAAGTAGACAATTGGAGCATTTATACTGCTCCAAAAAGTGATGCCATTTGAGAACATTTCTGAATATTTTTACTTATTTATATTTTGAATATTTAAAAACTTCAAAGTAGGAATAACAATTCATAGAAAGACCATTATAGAATCTAAAACTTAGATTAACAATGTCTTGAACTCCTAACTCTTAGTTATGACAAAAATCATTATGTTTGTTTTTTTTGTCACACAAACAAACAATAAATAAAAACCCTGTATGCAGTTTAATTTTATAACCAACCCTGTCCCATACAAAAAAAGGCACCCAATGGCAACAATATTTATAAGATGATTTGATAATAAATGTAGGTTAATTAAGATTTCAGTCCACACTATTTTATCTTAAGCCTACAAATAGGATTTGCAGAATGGACTTTTTTTTACTTGAGGGACTGATTGTTGTAATTAAAATACTTCATGCGTTTTATTATTCTTTGTTTTATATAAGTTGCCTTATTTAACTTTTCTTCAACTAACATTATTGAGTTAATTTTATTTGAAAACTTGCCGACCACATATGATCTTTTCGGAAATTTTGATTATTTTGATGAGTAGTCGTTTAGACTGAAAGTAATGACTGGGAATAATCAACCCATCATAAGACAATTAATGTTGCATCATGTAGTTGTGACATTGTAAAGTTTTGATTTAATTGAATTCAGTTGTCACTCATCCTATTCAGGCATTGTAGACCTTTTTTAGCCACCCAACCAACTAATACCCTATCAAATCTGGTTGCATTTCATTTTTATTCCTGCCTTCACTTATTATAATTTCAGATTCATTTTCACTTGCTGCATCTGTCACTTTTACCATTTTCTTTTCCCCCATGTTTGTCATTTATTCTTATGTTGAATTAATTTGAATGATCAAATCCTGAATTTTTCCTAGAATAATCATACATAATCATAGAGTGCATTTAATGGATATGGGTGATCATTGAGGCCAACTCTAGAACGAAGCTCACAAATAAATTTTCCAGAGCACCCTGATTTATTTTATTAGTTAGCAAATAATTAGGCTATTTTTATTTTAAAATGTGTAGAATTCGTTTTGTTCCATGAGTATACATGATAATCTTTTTGGGAAAATTTGTAGACAATTTTTTCTTGTACATCTCATTGAAATAATAGAATCATAAACTTTATGCAATAATTTGTCTTGTTAATATAAAAATAATTCATGTGTTGATATGAATGGTGTGCTTTAATTATTTAGATGAGCAACATTAACCAAAATGAACCAATTATTGCTCAAAAAATATTCAATGAAATCAGCAGTATCATTTAATAAGTGTACATCCTTGTTTGTCTATAGTTTTGCTGAATGCTGTGGTTGTAGTATGTAACTAAACTTCTAAAATAACCTAACATTAATTGTAAAGTTAAAGTCAATATATTGTTTATAAATTATTAATTTATTAAGAAAATGTATAATATTAGTTATTTACTTGTATTTACTCACACATCCTGCCAATTAAACAAGTTAAGTTAGTTAAAGTAAGTTGGTTAAGTGTTTGACTTTACAATTAATCTTATTTATCGTCATAGGTAATTGTAATATTACAAAATGGCATTTTACTTAGTTTCCATATTATATCACATCTTTTAAAGGTTAAATCATTACTAAATGTTATGTTACTACATGCTGGTTTTTTATACTTTGCTTATTTTTAAACAGTGTTTTTGGAATATATTTTTTTGTAAACGGCAAAACTGGCAACTGACTTGTTAATGATTGTTGGTTAGTCTACTGAATATAGATTGACCAGGATAATAGAGGATATGACTCCTTAGAAGACACCATCTGTTATTGGAGCAGAGGACAAGATTTCAGGCTTTACTTTAGTTAAAAATAATGATCTTCAAGGTATGATTTTTGAAAAAAAATCAGAAGATAGATTTTGAAATTAGAAAAAACTAAATAGAATGCACCTTTGGTATATTGTAAATCAAGTTATACGGCTACAAATATAGCAGTTGATTTCAGTTCGGTATCTATACCTTTTGCTTCCACATGTAATTGATCTCTACGGATAAAAGAAAAAAAATTAATGCAATTCAGTATACAATTAGTTGTCAATGTATCACTTACACATTGGCAGTTAATGTAAAAGTAATTTCTCCTTCAGTTTTTAGATTTAAATGTGCCTAAATAAAAATTGATAAAATAAATTATATGCTTGAATAAGTTTACAAAATAATCTTACTTCGGATTTATCATTTTTGTTATTTCCCGATGTAGCTATAAGAGTAATATTGTTAACATCAGAACTAGTTGTAATACTTTTTGTACTAGGTAATATTTCATTCTGATCAAAACTTATTGTCTCGCCACAACACTAAAAAATCATTAAATAAATTATTCAAAAAAATTAAATAATTTCTTTAATACTAACCTCAATTTGAATTGATTCATTTAATGTGTGAACTTCTGTTGTAGGTTCTGGTAAATCATCATTCGCATTCCAATATTTTGCCAAGAAACTAGCTTGGACAGCCGCCCCATAAGCCAATACTTCATCAGGACTAATACTATTTGGTATATCCGCATGAGGAAATAAGTTTCCAATATAATGTTTCAACTTTGGTATTTTGAGTGGACCACCACAAAGTAAAACCTATTTTAATTAAAATATGTAAGTATAGTATTAATAAAGTTTAATTTATGAGTATAAATTCTCTATAAATACTTTTTTAATATCTGAACTTTTAAGATTAGCTTTCTTTAAAACAACTTCAATTGGCAGAGCAAAATCAGTCAACAAATGAGCAATTAATGATTCAAATCTGGCTTGCGAAACCATGGCAGCAAAATCTACTCCATCAGTCAATGATTCAATAAATATGTTTGCCGTTTTTAATGTAGACAGTAAATGAACAGCATCTTCAGTAGCTCTTTGTAATTTTGCAGAAGCTCTTGCATTTTCTGAAGGATTTGATCGATGTTTCCTTTAAAAAATTAAAATTGTAGACACAAGCTTCTTTGACAGTTAAAAATAGATACCTTTTAACTTCTTCAATTAAATGAGCTTTCAGTGTCTCTATTAATTTATATCCTCCAATCGCTTTAGTGTGTTCAGATGCTACAATTGACACTAAACCAGAATTCACATATAAAACTGTTGCATCACAACTAATACCTCCAAGTCTATATACTAAAATGTACCTATATTACATAACATAATGAAAATATAATTTCAAAATACATTGACATAGGTCATTGACATATTTTTACATACGTGTCATTTAAAGGTTCTGTAACATTCAATCCATAAGTGAAAGGAGTTACACTAGGAGCATTAACAACTTGAAGCACATTCCATCCAGCTTGAATAGCTGCATTTCTAACTGATTCTCTGCTGGGATCATCAAAAAATTCTGGTACAGTAACAACACAAGAACATTTTGTATCTTCACTGTGAGTGGCTCTTTTAGCAATGCCTAATTACAATAACGAAAATAAAAAACCATACAAAATATATATATATAACATATTTTA